CTCCTGCTGCTTGCCAGGATAATACTCTTCATTGATGACCACCCCAATATTACTGCCCTCCTCAAGGCTCAGCACATGTCCAGCTGAGAGTCTGGAGACTCAGCCAACACTCCACTGCTGCTTCTCACACCGTCACTCGCCCCTGCTCACTTGCATTGTAAACTCACCTTATGTCAACTCAACTGCCTGAACTGCATTTTCACTCAGGGGCTGAGAAACAGATGCTTCAGGATTGTGAACCTGATGCACCTTTAAGTTGTAAGAAAACCTCTTCCAGGTACTCCAATTTGGAGGACTAGGCCTTCCAGCTTCAGAGGTGTCTTGAAGCAAAGGGAAAGTAACTGAGCAGACGTTTCAAAACAAAGGTACTGGCTCACCAAGCTTTCTTTTTAAATTGGAGGCTTACCTCAAGAAGTGGACCCTTAGCCTGCTGCTGTCTACTATCCAGGCCTCTTACCTCAGCCATTGGGAAATTGGAAATTCCCAGGTCGGTCTCCTGTAACCCTCCCTAACTAAACTCCCACTGAGCCCAAATGGCTGCCAGCAACAGAAGATTAATGTCAGACCTCAAACCTGCCTCAACAAAACGGCTGGTTGGGAGATCAACACACCTACCAGTGGCCTTGTCTTCAAACCCCATCCACCCTAGTTCCTGAAACTTCTGTTCCATCTGGGCACACAATCTCTCCCCCGGTGTATCCGAGCTGGATAAGGCACACATAATAGGGAGAGGGTGCTTCCTCAGACGGCATGACCGCCGCTGAGAGACGCTTTACTGTTTTGTGGGAAATTAGAGACAGCAAGTGGAATCGACAAGGTGAAAAGGGCTCAAAATCAACATTGGGCACATTTTCAATTTTCCATACCTGCTAACATTACGTCCACATGAATGAGTGCTGTACAACGTGGGCAAACTGTTACCTAATTACAAGGGACATCATTCCACTAGCAGTGGGCAGTGTGGCACCATACTCCTGCTGGTGACCTCATCTGTCACTTCCACCCAGGCCTGCTCACTCTCCGAGGCTGCCTACTTCTGGGCATCTGCTGGGAACGGAATCTCCCTACAGGCCCTTACAGCTTACACCCAGGTACTCATCCTGAAACGGAGGTGCAGTCTGTTCACATCAACACTCCATCTGCTAAGTGGCCGGGTCCATTCGGACTCTTCAATGCCTCCTGTTCAGACTCTCACCAGATCCCATTAGATACTGAAGCTGAAACAGATTGCTGCCGGTCTTTATCACCTTCCTCCTGCCCCCCCACCCCCATTCCAATGTGTCAGGAAAACTGGAAATCACATGCAAATACGGTGGCTGAATTAAAAAGCAAACATGAAAGCACTGCTGAAATGCTCATGTCCCTGACACACTATTAGTAACCCTCACTCTGAGTGGGTCTAACTGTTAAACTTCAGCCTTGTGTTTCTTATCATGGTAATGGCTGATTGAGAAGATTGGAGTATTAAATGTTGGGGTATACGGATACAATTCTGTAAAGGTGCACGTTGTACAACATTTGGGTGTTATCGGAGCTGGGGGTGTAGGTCAGACAGCACATAGTTAGTAATGTTAGCCAGTATGGCAGATTCAGTGATGTTCCCCCACCCCCAGTTAAATCTATGACTTTGAGTTTTGTTCTTTCAGCCCAAGATGTGACATTTCTCACAAACTGTTTTTCTATCTGGCTGGCTGCCTTATTGATACAGATTCCAGGTACCCATACAGCACACAACATAATTTTGTCCGATTATCACAAATTGCAGATTAAAAGCTCACAAATTCTGCAACAAACTGGTGAATATAATAAAAGGCCTTTTGTCCACCACCATCCTCAAAATCCAGGCTAAGTCAGCTTTTGAAAACAAACTAGGAGGTAAATGCAATATCTTTACATTCTGCTTTCCTCATTCATAGGGACAGAATCAATCAGTGTTTACTTTTGATACACAAATGTTACTAGCAATTACAGTTTCTGATGTTGAGGTAAAATGCTTAATGGGTTAGTATCTGTTAATTAACAGAATTTAAAAAGATTAATGCCTCTGCTAACATATCATGTGAAGCAAAGTTGTACAAGCACACTAAACATTTATCTAACATCGCAAACTGTAAATTCTAGGCTGCAGTAACTGTAATCTATGGAAAGATTTAACCAATGCTGCTATAGTGTATCAACTATCGTACTGTATTAGCAATCTAAATGCATCATTTCTAACTGAATGCAGTGACCTAGTAATTTAGTGCATTAACAGAAAATTTTAAAAATTAGCAACATTGCAGGATCATCTTTAAAATCTAACTGGCTCTTTACTGTCTTTTCTGGAAGAGGAACCACAACCACTATCACTGGCTCCCATACAATCCAGGCTACATTCTTGATTCTTAATGCTCTCTGAAGTGGTTCAAATATGTCACTCATCATTAATATAGCACAGGAGGTGGTCATTTGGTCCACTGTGCCTACCCTACATTTTGGCAACCACTATCCAATTAGTCCCGCTCTCTTGCTACTTCTCCATAAATTATTCCTTTTCAAGTAGGTAAGAAATCTCCTTTGAAACCTACTATTATCGCACTTTCTGTCACCTTTTCAGGAAACGCATACATGGGGGGCGGGGGGAGGTGGGGGAGTCTCACTTTCTCCCTACAAATCTCGTCAATGTCCTCTGCTTCTTTTTAATGTCAGGAATATACTTTATTCGTAAAAATATCTTTATATACATAGTCACTGAGCAGTTTGGTTCTGTACAGTAGCATATGAAGAAACGAACATACAAATATTGGAATCTGACTCTATCCAAACAAACCAAAAGGCATTTCTAATTGCACACAACTACATTTGCACACATTTGTGGCATCGGGGAGGGTCCAATAACTGAACAGAGCCCCGATGCAATCTTGGCAGAAAGAGCTTCAATTGCTCTGGTTTCCTCTGACAGTCCAAAGATGTGCAGGTTAAATTGGCCATGTTAAATTGACCATAGTGTCCAGGGATGTGTAGGTTAGGTTGATTAACCATGGGAAATGCAGGGTAATGGGGTCGATCCAGGTGGGATGCTCTTCGGAGGATCGGCATGGACTCGATGAGCCAAATGGAGAAAAAAAAAAAAATGGGGCGGCACAGCGCCAGGGACCCGAGTTCGATTCCACCCTTGGGAAACTGTCTGTGTAGAGTTTGCACATTCTCCCCGTGTCTGCATGGGTTTCCTCTGGGTGCTCCGGTTTCCTCCCACAGTCCAAAGATGTGCAGGCTAGGAGGATTGGCCATGCTAAATTATCCATAGTGTCCAGGGATGTGTAGATTAGGTGGGTTACAGGAGGATGGGATGCTGAGGGTCGGTGTGGACTTGTTGGGCCGAAGGGCTTGTTTTCACACTGTATGGATCCTACGATGGTCTTTCCTCCACTATGTTTTGGTGGCAGCTGCCCCAAGCTTTCGTGCTCACTGGCTCGCCTGTCAGTGTAAAGCAAGGAAGAAACTGTTTGCAGTCAGCTGTTAAGTAGAAGAACTTAGCCAGAAGGCACTGCTTCCTTCTGAGGGTTAATAGAGTTTTTCTAATTATTCATTCACGGGATGAGGGCGTCGCTGGCTAGGCCAGCATTCATTGCCCAGAGGGCTGATATGAGCCAACCACATTGCTATGGGTGTGGAGTCACACGTAGGCCAGACCAGGGGTAAGGATGGCAGTTTCCTTCTCGAAAAGGCATTAGTGAACCAGATGGCTTTTTATGCCAACCGGCAACGGATTCATGGTCATCATAATTCTAGATATTTATTAAATTTAAATTCCACCATCTGCCGTGGTGGGATTCAAACCAGGATCCCTAGAACATTACCTGGGTCTCTGGATTAACAGTCCAGCGATAATACCACTAAGCCATTGCCTCCCCAACTTACCAATACAGCCCACATTCAAAGATGAAATAGTCATAAAAGCAAAACAAGAGTTTTATATGGAGCATACATCACAGGGAGATATAGTGGTAGTTGGTCCAAGTATGTAAAAATGCTGCAATAATTACTCATTGTAAATCTGGCAAAAAAAAATGTCAGGGGGGTAAACTGACCTGGATTCTCACTGCTGGCATGAGGTTCAATAGTAAGATCATACATTAGTGCTCTTAAAATAAAAGAATTCTAACAGATTATGCATTTCAATATAGTTGTTCATTTTTATGAAGTGTGAAATACTCATATTACAGATATCATCATATAGTTCAGTAATGCAATGTTCTGTTGTTGATAAACAATAGAATCGGTAACGAGATTGACTTCACACAAAAACAACATGATGAAAACAATCTGATAAAAGGTACGCTAAATGCTTTGACCAGAAATGCAGTGCCCACAGCTCCTTCTCGGAGAGGTCAGATGAAAATGCTTCACGGACTGTTTTCCAGGAAAAAGATCATTTTCCGTCTAGATCAATTTATGTATATTATTTTGGCAAATTTGTTTTGAAGTTCAAAACACTCATTAATTTCAAGAAATAAAAGTCAACATTTTGCCATCCAGCAGATTAGCAGCTAAGATCATAACCTGATTTAAGTGATTGCCATCAAGATAACAACTGGGACAATACAAATAGGTCTTAATGTCCCTGAAATGGGAGACAGTAGAGATGAAAAAAAATGGAGAGAAGAAAAATTGGCTAGAAGTTAGGACTTGTCAAAGACATTCAAGGACTGCAACTGGACAGGACATCTGTGCAGATGTCAAGTGAGTGAGACTGTGTTCGGCTCTCCCTCAGGTAAAAGAGCTTACTGACAGTTGGCAGAAACTTGCATCAAGGTACAAAAGCATTGGTAGCACCTATGGGGTTGTATGTGGCAACCAGTGATGACTTCATAAGGAAAACAACAAAATAAAAAAAGACACCAAACTCCAACTGGGGTGTAAAGTAATGTGATGTATCTGCATTTTCTTAAAAAAAAAGACTAGAATAGAACATGGATTTTAACTTCTTGAAGAAAGCACAGTAAAATCATTTCACTCACCAACACTGAGAACGTGTATCATTGCCCAGATATAGCCTCCTGGGTCAAACTGAAAGACAGGAAGTTTTCTTTCAGGTTAAGAAAACACATACTCATTGCTTCATAGCTCCCCTACAAGGGGATTCAAGGGAACTACAGTGGAAGTAAATCGTATAAAAAGAACAAACTGTAAATATTTATAACATGTACAGTCTACTCACTTCTCGGAATACTGCATACAGTTAATATAACAAGCTTCAGGAATAAGAAAAAAAAGTTATTTGAACCAGCCATCCTATCCTTTTCTCCTTAAGTCAGTCCTGCTTACCTTCTTGCTTCAACTCAGGTTATACTACATAAACTGGAATAAAACATGAGTACTGTTAACATACCGATTTATCAAGTGACCACAGGTCAGTAAAATCATTTATTACTGTCTCTACAAGGGCTCATGAACATTTCGAAGGTTTTCCAAAACGAGATCAGACAAGAAATAATCAAGAACAGTTATTATTTTGGTTGCAGTATAACACACTTTCCACATGCAATGAGTTCCAGGACATTTAAATCCAAAATACAATGTAATGGATTCAATTAAAATATCTCAACAATATCAGCTAACAAATCTGAAATCAAGATATTGTCAAGGCAATGACTGGAAGCAGAAAGCAAACACTTTAAGCATTAAATCATTCCCCACGGGCACAGCAACTGGCTAGGAGTGGATGTAAATTACTACATCATGTACACTTGTAACTACCAGCCAATGATCAGAGACCCTGGAGAATGTACGTTTATGAAGCTCCCCAGTAAAGTTCCTGCTTTACCTTATGCAGTTAGAATTTGCTATCCTAACAAGGATTCAGTTTGATGGTTTTCCAGATTAATGACTCACACTAACAAATAAAAAAAAATACCATATTGAAACACCTGCAAGCAGAACATTTGTAGACTCAAATTAATGTGAAATTTGAACAAGGTAGTGATTTTATTCTAAATACTTCGATAATGAAAAGAGATGTGCACGCAGCCAAGAAACTGCATTGTAGAAATCAAACAGTCTCGGATTCCAGCCAATCAACCTGAGACGGTGGCAATTGATCTCCACATTCCAGAGTTTGGGATGAGAAACAAAAGCTGGGAAACTCCCATCCAGGGATGTTCACCAGAAATGTGAGCACAGACTTGGAAGCAGGCCATACTCACACAGAAAGTGGATTGTAGCACTGCATAACGTGAATTTATGGCACTTTAATCTCACGCTACACACAAGTAATTATAAGTCACGGTCTTCTCAGGGTTTGATTAGAATAATTTTGGCGTAAAAGGCTCTGTAATTAGTACATCAATGCATGGACTTGCAGTGGCCTGAAGTAATAAGATATGCTGCTTTAAAATAATTGCCAGTGTGCTTCTATCAGAGTGCCTCACTGGGCGGTTATGTAGCGGGGGAGGGGAGGGAAGAAAAAGAGGACAAAGATTACACCTCAGGTCAGACGGCAGTTCAAATCTATTGTGCAATTAATTCAGACATCATGGAAATTAATATCGATTCATTACAAACTTGGCTCAACTTTTCTTAATTCTGCTGATGTTGATTGGAGTCAAGGTTGTTCAAAGATATTATTTCCCACTGGAATGTCACAGTTAGGAGGATTTGGTGTCAATTTTTTTTTTTTTTTTAAATCGACCTGAAACATACAGCATTATGTGTGCTTAACCCCTCCAGTGCTGGAAAGCAGTTTATGCTTCCAAGTGTGGTGGATTGTGGGAAGATGGTTAGCTGTCATTTCAGGTCAGGAACGTTACTCATCTGCAAATTTCTCTTCCCCCTTCCACCATCTGAAAGTATCTTAAACTTTTAACTCAGCCCTCGTGAATTTTCAATCAAGCCCGAATGCCATTTTGTAACGGACGAAAAAAAACATCTTCCTAAGATGTTGATTTCATCTAGCTCCAGAGATCTGACAGAACTTAGAGTTCCAAAGTGTCAAAGAAACTTTACTTTTCCGTTTTAAAAAGAAGAGTAGAGGGAGCTTTACTCTGTATTCAATCTGGTGCTGTCCCTTTTCCACGAGTGCCTGATGGGGACGTTGTCAGGGGACTTGAATTTTCTGTTTATATCACTGTTTTAAAAGAGTACAGATGGAGGGGTGGGTGAGAAATGGTGGAAATCGCGCATGCGCTCTCACTCTCACTCCACCCTGACCCAACAGTAACACCTACATCCCATGAACAAACAAAACATGTTTTAAAGGATATCAAATTATCAAACAAATAGTTCATAGGGCAGATGTCACTCACTTACCTGAGGGTCACTGTATGCCAAAATGACAGCAGATAAAGGAAACATAAACATACTGAAAGAGAATCAGGATACAAAATGAGTAAGCTCCAGTTGTGGTTATACCTTATAACTGTTCCTTATCAGTGGAATTCTGCACTGCGTTAATGGTATAACTAAGTAATTAAAGGATGCATTCAGATAAAGGCTATTTGATCCAAATTCATTCTGTCATTTGTTAACCTTGGTAGTTTCTTATTTTTGATAGGTCAATTCCATGCCTTTTCTACTAAAAGGGTTTTTTTTCCCCCTCTGATGCAGATCTGTTTATTGTCTATCAACTTGAATTTCTCCATTTCTAATGCCTACTGTCCCCACAGATTCCAACATTACTTTGATGATCAATTCACAATATTACACAATTTGAAATCACATCTGGACATCACCCAGTTAGTTTTCCTTCACCTCATATGGCATTCTCCTGGGTGCACTTAGTTTTAACACCACTCTCCAACTGTTTAACATTCAGCAAACATTCATTCAGTAGTGAATGTAATTAATCTATAGCATTTGACAGATATATAAAAGCGTAAGATTAAATATGGCACTGAACAAACTTACCCGAGGAACTTAGGCCAAGACAATTTCTGTGTAAAAGAAAATTTAAGAAACGATGACTTGTAATCAGTTAAAAGTTATGAGTGTCAGTATTTTGTTTTAGTTTATGAAGCACAGGATCAATATTTAAGATGGTTTACGTTCAAATATGAAACAGAAATCACACAAGTTTAGACCTTCTGATCGAGCAAACCGGTCAAGGTACTGACTTTACAGTGAAGCTATCTATTCTCAGCATGTTTCCTTCAGTTTCAAAATATTGCTAAAAGAAAATTTTTATTTTTATTTTAATTTTATTTTATTTTATGCTTCATTTTAAAAGCCACTTGCTGCAATGTATTCCTTGTTTCAATAACCCTTTATGAGGGAACATTTCTTTTAATCATACCAGGTGACTTCGAGATTTTGTGTTCACCAGTATAGGAAATAGCACTACAGATGCCAGTATCGTTCTAAAATTTGGATTTGGCATTGTAACTAAGCAGCTCCAGATTCCTTCTGTGCTATGCAAGATGTCCTGAACCCACTTACACCATCCTTTACCACAAGACTTTCACCCCTGCTTCAGACTCCTGCAAGGGGCAAGCACAAATTCAAATTCAATCCGAAACTCTGCAACATTTAGGTTCACCCACATTTGGAGTATTGTGTGCAGTTCTGATAGCCATTCTATAGAAAGAATGTGGATGCTTTGGACACGTTTACTAAGATGTTGCCTGGTTTAGAATCTATTAGCTATAAGGACAGGTTGGCAAACTTGGATTGTTTTCGGTAGAGTGCTGGCAGCTGAGGGACAATCTGATAGAAGTTTATGAAATTATGAGGCATGGACAGGATGGATAGACAGGGTCTTTTTCATGGGTGTAAATGTTAAATATCAGGGGGGCATAGCTTTATGGTGTTAGTTTAAAGGAAATAGTTTTACACAGAGTGGGAAGGTGCCTGGAACTTGCTTCCATGGGAGGTGGTAGAAGCAGAAACGATAGCAACATTTAAGGGAGGGAATAGAATGATGCAGACCAGATGCAGGCAAATGGGATTAGTTGAGAATGGCATCATGGTCGGTACAAACATGGTGGGCTGAAGGGCCTGTTCTATGTTCTCAATACTCTGCTGTCAATTTGTACTTACTGGAAAGTAGGTTGAGGCTAACTATTTTGAAACCTAAAAGTCCTCAAACAAGAGATGTGAAGGTGCAGCAGACAAGATAGAGCAGATTCAAAACCACGTACCACAAGCAGTGTGCATTCATTTCTATTGTGCAAGTGTACTGTAAATGTATAATTCCAATATAGGCATGTGGATGATGCTGAAAGTGGCATATTTTCTGCATTTCTCTTGCCCCCACCTTGGCATTGTGAAGCTAACAAGAAATTTTTTCTTTTCCTTTCAAGCATCAAGGCCCTCAAGATGCAACAACTCAGATACCCATGGCCCTCTGGAACTTTCCTCTCCTCCCCTCCCCTTCCCTCTGATTCCATCCCATCCCCCAACCCTACCTCCTGTTGGTTATCCACCATCCCTCCGAAACTTCCACTCTCTGATGCTGAACGTTCTGTACTCAGCAAAGGCCTCAGCTTTATTCCTCTGCCTCCCCGCATTGGTCACCTCAATTTCTCGGTCCCCCTCACCCAATCCAACCTATCGCCCTCCAAACCAACTGCACTCTGTGCACTTAGATCCAACCCTGTCTTTGTTAAGGGTGGTGCCATCGGAGTCCTCTCCACCACATCCAGACACATATTCCTCTCCCCTCCTTTGTCTGCCTTCCACAGGAACTGTTCCCTCCAGTACACCCTGGTCCAATCTTCCTTTATCCCCAACACAACACGCCCCACCTCGCCCACACAGCCCTATGGCACCTTCCGCTGCAACTGCCAAAAATGTAACACTTGCTCATTTACCTCCTCCCTCCCCACTATCCAAGGGCCCAAACATACCTTCCAGGTGAAGCTGCACTTTACCTGCACTTCACTCAATCTAGTCTACTGCATTTGCTGCTCATAATGTGGTCTCCTCTACACTGGGGGAATGAAGTGTAGACTGGGTGACTGCTTCGCTGAACATCTACATTCTGCCCGCAAAAAAGACCGAGCTTCCAGTTGCCTGCCACTTTAACACATCACCCTGTTCCCTGGCCAACATCTCTGTCTCTGACTTGTTGTAGTGTTCCAGCTAAGCTCAGCGCAAGCTGGAAGAACAACACCTCATTTTCCACTTGGGGACCCTGCAGCCCTCCAGACTCAATATCGAGTTAAATAATTTTAGGGCTTAATCTCTCCCATGTCCCAGCCCCCTACCCCACACACCAGGCCTTGTTATCACATAGCCTGCCATTACACATTACCTGTTGTTAGTCACTAACAGTCCCCATTAACAGCTATTCACCCAATCATTATCAACTCCTTTGACTATCCAACTGCTCTTTTCTCTTTTTGGGCTCTATCCCCACCTATCATTTACTCCTTACCCTCTCCCCCAACCCTTTCTTCTGCATATAAACTGACATTTTCCTAGCTACCATCAGTTCTGAGGAAAGGTCACCAGAACCAAAACGTTAATTCTGATTTCTCCCAACAGATGCTGGCAGACCTGCTGAGCATTTCCAGCAGCTTCTGTTTTTGCTTGTGAAGATAATGGTTCTTGTGATCTCTTTAGGGAGCACCATCTTATTAGTCAGGAAATTCCAGGTTTTTGACTCCGTGATACTGAGGATATTGCAGTATATTTCCAAGGTAAACTGATGATATGAGTGGAGTGGAGCTGATGGTTCACTTATTATGTTGTTACTCCTGCCCTTGATAGTGGACTGGCATGTGCCATCATTGAATTAAGCTTGGTAAGTTGCTGCAGCCAAAGTGCATTCATCGTGAAGGGGGATAAGACTCAGACAGAGTTGATAATGCTATTGAGATTAAAGCAATCATTACTTAAGTGTCTGAAGTGTTGTTGAAGCTGTACTCATTCAGGTACATAATGAATATCAATCACACTCTTGACTTGAGCCTCACAGATTGTGAAAAAGCTTTGAGGTACGGACATGGCTCACTCTTTCCAGAGCATCCAAGCTCTGTGCTCCTCATGAGTGGCTCAGTGTTGGGATGGCTGATCCACCTACCCTTACTGGCCAATGGTAACCACTGGAAAATGATGATTGATAATACAATGATTGAACCTCAGTAGAATGGCTATCAGTGCTGCTTTGGCGTTTGCTTGTTGGAAATGCATCATTACCTGGTACTTTTGTTGTAAGCATTACATGTCATTAATTAGCCTAAGCTATGTATCAGTGATACTCGCTGCCGCAGATGGCACCCAGTTCTTCATCATTGGCGGAATTCCAAATGGAGCTAAACATTGTCTCAACCTCTTTCAACAGACTTCCAAACCTGGCTCAGGGTGGCAATGACACTGCAGTTGTCTGCAAAGCATAGGTCACATATCTACACTTTAGTTTTGGCATCAAGGAGGTTAAGAGTGTGTTATGTGGATGGTAATGGGTACTGAGGGAAGTGAATGTGCAATCACCACATACGTGGATGACAATTGCTAGAGTTTGATACAAAGAGTCTGCGAAGGGATATGGACAGGTTAAACAGGTGGGCACAAACTTGGCAGATGAAACGTGTAGAAAATGTGAGGCCATGCACTTTGGCAATAAGAACAGAGCAGCTGGATACCACTTAAACAGAGAAAGCTGCAGCATAGAAGGATTTGGGAATCCTTGTCAATGAATCATAAAATAGTGGGCACCCAAGGTCAGTAAGTAATAGGAAAGACAAATATTGAATGTTGGCCTTTATTTCAAAGGGAATGGAGTATAAAAATAGGGAAATTTTGCCAAAACTATACAAGGCACTAGTCGGGTGACAACTAGAGTCCTGTCAACAGTTCTGGGCTCTTATCTAAGCAAAGATATATTGGTATTTGAAGCTGACCAGGGAAGATTCACTAGGTTGTCCAGGGTATGGACACAATTTTTTCTTTAAAATGAGTAGTTGACTAGGTTAAGTTGTATTCATTGGAATTTAGAAGAAAGGCAGGCGACCTTATTGAATCATACAAGATGTTTAGGGGATTTAACAGGGTTAATGCGTAAAAGGCTGTTTCCTCTTATGGGAAAGTCGAAGACCAGAGGACATAATCTCAGAAGAAAGGGTACCCCTTTGGGACAGGGTTGAGGAGGAATTTCTTCTCTCAGAAGGTAATGAATCTGTAGAATTCTTTACTGCAGAGAGCGGTCAAGGCTGGATCGTTAAGCATAATCAAGGCTGAGGTAGCCAGATTTTTACTTAGCAAGGGAATCAAGGGTTATGGGGAAAAGGCAGCAACTGGAGTTGGGGGATCACCAGATCAACCATCACCTCAAATGAATAGCCAAGTAGAAATGATGGGCTGAATGGCCTCATTCTACTCCTATGTCTTATGGACAACAGATTTGATTTTAATTAAATACACATGGTCTGACAACCAAGCAGATTATCTCCCTCTAATGTTTCCATAGTCAGGCCAGACATCCCCTGTATGACACACTCGCTTAATCTTCCATGATCCCAATTTGCTCACTAATGCTCCAACTATACCAGATATGCATTACTTGCCCACTCCCCTCTTCCTTTTATATAGTTCAGGGCCCTCAAACTGTTTTGTGCAAGACATCAATTTGCTTGCAATTCCTCCAGATCGATGCAGTTTATTTGATATTCACGGCGATCTTCTCTAGCCTGCTGAGACCAAGTGCAGGTCCATTTTGCATTCATTTCTGAGTCATTTTAAAAAAAAAACGTGCAATCTTTAGGCTGAGTTATTCTCATGCCTTTTTTTCCCCCAAAAGGTCATTTTTTATTGTATCACTGAGACTCCTTGTATAGAACCGAGCAGCTTTCACCTCATTGGAAAATCTGCTGACCATTCAAACTAATCACCTTCTCATTGTGATGCGGTCATCATTCCAGATTCTTAATTTCTACCTTATTCTCTCTCCCTCCCCTTTCCCTTTTGCTCAGCCTTACTGGAGGTGACGACTATATACTGTTTCAAGCTCTGACAAACATTCCAAATTTAGATGTACTAATCTATATTTTCTCCTTTTGGGTGTCGTCAAACTTGCCGCCCATTTGCAGTAATTTTACTTTCTCTCATTAACTTTTGTTTCTATTTCTTATGGTCAATTACAAGATTATTCTTCTTTTCAGTGTTGGTTCAGTGAAAACAAAATGGCATTTAAATATGAGATAGTAGGAACTGCAGATGCTGGAGAATCCGAGACAACAAGGTGCAGGGCTGGATGAACACAGCAGGCCAAGCAGAAGGGTCTAGGCCCGAAACGTCAGCCTCTCTGCTCCTATGATGCTG